AAGTTAGTTAGGTAATTAAATATGAACAGGAATAAAAAGTTTCCATTGAAGCCCACTATTATATTTTACTTATTTTGTATGTAAGGTTGAGGTTCTATTTATTTAAAATATCTATTCGGGGTACTATTATCTATTGTGGCTAGGCTATTTTGGTCGTTGTCAAGTCTATCAATGTAGTTTGTACTCTTTTTTTTTAATTTCTTCTTTTACATATGGTTCGCAATGTTTTTGACTGATATCGATGAATAATCTCAATATTGGAGTTGCTAGCAATACCCCAAAGTTGTAAATCACAAGTTCACAAAGGCTTGAATATGGCTTTATATCGGCGAACTTTATTTTCTAGGCTAGTTTGAGATTTCGGCCTAACAGCCAGGACATTCGTTGTGTCTTTAATGTTAGAGATGCAAGCCAAGGTACTTCACTGAGCTGCTTTGCGGAATTGCTGATCCGTTAAATAAAACTTCTTGCCAATCGCCCTTTATTAATATAAATGATATTTAGGCGGATTTTAGAACGTTTACTTTTATTTTCCAAGGGAGGAACTTTGACAGAAACCAGGTTTTGACTGCAGTTGTTGCAAGCTTAATCCGATGAGCTAGTTGCTATAATGGTTGTGTCGTCCGCGTATATTGCAACAGTCGTGTTATTGGAAACTGGCATGTCAGCCGTGAAGAGCTGTGGTTCCTTGCGGACCACCTGCAGTGCGACGACTTACTTTTTTGCTGCACACAGAAGTATCGTTCAACCTGATACGACGTTCAAATAAATAGTATTATGTCAAACGCTTGTTGAACGTCCAGGAATGCTGCAGTACAATATTTTTGTTTTTAAAAGCTTAAATTATTTCACTTACTACTCTGTGGTTGGACGAACTTGCCAGGGGTTCCATGGCATCTTATATTCTAATATCCCTGAACATTAGTTTGGATTGAGAAGAGGCCATGGAACCCCTGGCAAGTTCGTCCAAAGTTGGCAACATTTTCTTTAAATATATTTTTTAAATACTTTAGAAAATGTTGACAGTGAGCTAATAGCTAATACGGTACGACGTGAGGCCATTCTCATTGACACTTTTTCATTGACTTGGGAAGTGGTCCAGTCTCAGTATTGCATTGAATATAAAAGTTGCGAAACTGGTGCATTTTTGAGGAAGATTTTTTATGGTAAAGCAATTCATTTGTCAGAGCCTAGTGCTTTTTACACCCTGAACCCATTAAAAATGGGTATAAGGGTATGTTGTATTTGTGCAAAATCCAACTGTATGTAACAGGCAGAAGGAAGCATCTCCGACCCCATAAAGTCTATATATTGTTGATCAGCACCAATAGCCGGGCCATGTCCGTCTGTCTGTCTGTTCGTCTGTCCGTCCGTCCGTCTGTCAGCATGTATGAACGCAAGGATCTCAGAACCTAAAAGAGCTAGAGACTTTAGATGTAGTTGCTCCTAGTGTCTGCGTAGATCGGGGTTGTTTCCGATAATCGATAACTTACTCCGTTTCCACGCAATCGATATATTGATATCAATATCGATTTGGGCAATTTTGGTAAATAATAGGAGTTAGAGTCAGCAAACTTGACATATAGCTTCTAAATAGAATATATATGCATTTTATGTTGAAAGAAGAGGGTTCAGGCTAGCCCCTAATCGGGAGCTCCCGACCTCTAACTTGCTGCTTGTTTATTTTTTAATCTCCGTTTCAACTTCTTTGGAGCTGCTAATGCGACAAATTGAAAAGCTCATTTGACAGAGTGAGTCAAGGAAACTCTCTACTTCCCTTTCTATTAGAGTGTCATCAATATCAATTGTCTGAAGTGCCGAGTGCAAATGCTGTCCAAATGCTTAAGCTTGCTCGTCATCAGGCTTACAGCATTATCCATTACTCTTACGAATTTTTTTTTCGTTTGGCAGGGCGCCTGAGATATTTAGTCGCTCTCCAAAGATTGTGCTCATAGTTGCAAGAATGAGGGCCTAGATTTCTGAGGCATGCAGCAAAAGATTCATTTTTAAATCAGCCAACAATTGCTCTAGATCAGATGCGGCTTTATTAAACAATCTTTTGTTAGCAAGATGCCGGCTTTCTTGTCATCATTTCCGCAAATATCTTTTATTCTAAATATGTCGGCGGATGTCAACTGAAAGATACGGCTGGCTAGATTGTTGATGCCTAACTGCAGGTGACGTGTGCAGATAGCTCGCTTTGTAAGTTCGACTTGTAAGGATCTCTACAGAAGAGTCTACCTCATCTCCTGTTTTTATCGAAATATCCAAGTTAATAGTTGTTTCTAGATAGTGTTTAAGAGCGTTAAAGCTATCTAATTTAATTAACAATAAAAATGAAATTCTTAATTGAATTAACTAAATTAAATTAGATAAAATTAAGTTAAGTACAATAATTTATTTTAAATTAAAAATTTAAATATGTAAAAGTCGCTAATCTGTTCTCATCGAGATCGGCTGTGCCGCGCATAGACAAAGTACGAGTTGATTACTTGTGCAATTTACGTGTGCTAAAAATAGCTCATATCGAAAATTTCACCAAGTAGCTGGAAAATCCCCATAGGAGATCAAGAGAGACTTTATTAATAGCTGGAAAATCCCCATTGGAGATCAAGACAAAATTTATTAATAGCCTGTTACGCACTGATACTCAGAGCATCAGTACGATAACAACAACATTAACATTTACTAGTGCCACTAGTAATTCTGTTTACTCCACGGCAACTGTTGCAACCAGCAGTGTGAGCCATAGAGGAATCATGGATAACCATGAAGCTAGCTTTACCCTCAGACAGTATTTCTCCAACAATCAGAAGAGCTTCTAAAATAGGCTGCTTAGTTCTTTGTGATGCTGGTACAAAATTGGTAGCAGCCCAAAAGAATTTGAAAAATAAGAGAAAAAATCATTACATCCCAATACTAGCTCTGAGAGGCCGAATAAAGATTTGAAGCTAGTCTCGCCCTCAGCATCAACAATCATGGCAACCTTTGGCAACAGGTTTGCCTTGCTAGACATGGACATGGACGTAACAAGCGAAAGCCATGTTGACGAAAGTCACAGAGCTTCAAATGAAGGCCTAATCTGCGCTTCGGAGACTGCTTAGCAAAATAATAATAACGTCAGTATTAATGTGACACAGCCATCAGCCCACAACATAACGCAACCAATACTAACTACTAGCTTCACGGTACCCCAATACCACCGCAAATAGTTGTATGTGTTACTAACCTTAATGATCTCTTTGAACTTATTATGAAGGTCGCTAGTTTACATAATTTGGCAGTCTGTCAACCTTGGAGAAACGGTCAGATTGTTTCCCAAGACAGTCACACTTACAGAGAAATTGTTAATCAATTTGATGGTATTGGTATTGAGTTTCATAGATATCAATTGAACGAAGAGAAAAGATGCGAAATAGTAGTTAATGCGATTCGCCATAGCCTTTTAAACAACGAAATTATTGACAATTTAAAAAAATGGATTTGATGCAGGTACATAACCCAAGACCAAGGACTAACAAAGGCTATGCGTAAAAATTAATGATATATTAATTATGGTATATAAAAATATAAAAAATGAGGATAGAAAGGATGCGTAAAACATCTGAAATTGCCCTATACACACGATACGGTCACGCAACCAAGTACTGCCTCTGTCATCCCAATTGTGCACGATGTGGTGAAGATCATCTTCCCAAGCTATGCGCACGTCCCCAAGATGAACAGCCTTCCTGTCTGCACTGTGGAAGGAATTATATGGAAGGCTACAAATGTTGCCAATGGTACCAGGACTATCTTCGACGATCAATGGGTCTCTTGAATAAAGCAAGAGGCTCACACGCAACCATCTAGACAGATCAGGAGGAATCAAAATCGACCTAAGCAGCAAAATTTACAACGGAAACAGCAGCAGCAGCAACCAACTCAACAGCAACAAACACAACAAATATCTAACACTCTTAGAGTCAATACTGGAGGCAAATCCTATGCCCCAATAGCAAGGAACGGCAACGAATCTACACAGCGCCGACTACATGGTTTTCAAGCGCAACAACAGCTACTAAAGGCAAAAGAAAATATCATGCAGCATCAGCATCCAGTTGACGTTCAGTCACTATTTGAGCAACAGCAACAACAATTTTTATAGTGGTTTCAGGAGCATCAACGGGAACAACAACAATAAAACAAGCAAAACAGTCAACGACTAGAACGGCTTGAAAAAAGGGTTCATAAAATGGCCAGCAAGATAAAGCAATGGACAGGGGATAAATCTACGATAAAACAACGCCACAGCCTCCCAATAAATCCACTCAAGATCCTTATCTGGAATGTTAATGGCATCGCAGGAAAAGCCAGTGGAGTTGAGCTCATCGCGCACAACAACAATGTCGACATTCTCCATCTAAGTGTGATCAGACTAAACCGAGGAGAAACAGTCAAAATACCTTATAAGTCATCACGTCACAATCACGGTGTCTGAGAAGCGGCGGTATTAAAACGAGAACCATACAAATGACTTCAATAAAAATTGCCACAAGTTAGGTAGACATGGAATATAGCGCCATATACTACCCACCAAGGAATATAATTGAAGAAAGGCATCGCGGCCAAATGTATCTGGTTGGTGGAGCCTGGAATGCGCGACATTGGCTGTGGGGAGATACCTACAGTTCACCCAGGGGCCGAGAACTAGCCGAAGCCATTACAGCCAGAGGAGCTATTATTCTCGAGACAGGATCACCACTCTGACCATATAGACATTGTAAATTTGCATGCAGATGATTAGAGGCCAAGCTACCGATTAATTACCAACCGTACTGACATCATGGCTTTCAGACAACATCTTGAATGCTCGATTCAACTAAATCCAACCTGGAGTAGACATTGGGACTGCAGTAGATTTTCTAACTGAAAATATACAGTTTGTCAAGTAATTGTTTGCAAAATGAAAAACAGCACACAAATTCATTTTTAAACTAATATTTTACCGAATTTAATTATTTCTTCTTAATTTTTTTTTTGCATATTATTATTATTCTAAGTATTCTTCATAGATATAAGGCACAAACATAGCAAAATTCAAAACGCAAACGTAAAAAAAACAGACAAAACTAAAATGAGACAATTTTTGCGCTGTCAATTAATTCTTTGCAAAATGCAAACACAATTCGAAATAGAGCCCAAGCTACCTAACGGTACTTCAAATTCGAAGAAATTTGAATGCGTGAGTCATTGATATACAGCGTGCGAACCTTCTAAGCGATTTTGCGTTTTTAACAGTTCACATCTTGCCTAATTTAGAGCTTTTTGCAATGCCTGGTCAACGAATTAATGAAAATCTAATTCAAATAGTTTGTTTCCACTACCACAAGGGGAAATCTGCTAAAGATAAAAATTGGCGGAAATGTTCTCAATTAAGCTAAGAACTATTTATAATATTATTAACCGCGCCGAAAAAGAAAATAGATTGGAATTAAAGCACTCCGGAGGTAGACCAGCGAAGCTCACTAGACGCGATCATGCAAAAATTTTAAATCAGATCAACGATCAACCTCAAGCTAGCCCTCGACAATTGGCATCGGACTTAAAAAATGACGGCAATAAGACAGTGAGCCACGAGACAGTTCGTAAAGTCCTAAAAGTCCATAAATTCTCCTCGCAAATAGCTAGGAAGAAGCTACTACTGTCCGCAGTAAATATTCAGAGGCGACTTAATTTTTCTATTGCCAATGTCAACAAGCCCGTGGAGTACTGGGATGACGTTATTTTTTGTGACGAGACAAAAATAATGTTATATTATCATGACGGACCCAGCAAAGTTTGGAGAAAGCCCAATACAGCTCTGAAACCGAAGAATATAATACCAACAGTAAAGTGGCAATCTTTCGGTTATGGTGTGGGGCTGCATATCGTCGAAAGGTGTCGGTGAGCTGCGCATTTTCAATTATGTGATGACTAAAGAGTTTTACTTGGACATTCTAAAGAATGAATTGTCAAGGAGCGCAATAAAGTTTGGCTTCGAAGACCCCCAAAACACCAATAAACAAACGTACAAACTTTATTAGGTTTAACACGAATCGTTTTTGTGCAGGACTTGGCTACTGTATAATTGCAGCAAAGTCATTGACACCCCTGCCCAGAGTCCTGACTTAAGCCCAATTGAAAATTTGTGGGCTTTCCTAAAGAAGCGCGTAGGGAAACGAAGCCCAATTATTAAAAACGCTCTCATCAAGGCCATTCAAGAAGAATGGTAAAAATACCCGAAATGTATGACCTGAATAACCTTATTCAGTCAATGTCTCGTCGTCTGCGGGCTGTAATGGATGCTAATGGCCAATATACTGAATATTAGTACCACAATAGCTATAGTTTCCTAGATTTAGTTATGTATATGTATATAGTAATAGTATGCATTTTGCAAAGAAATAATTGACAGCGCAAAAATTGCCTCATTTTAGTTTTGTCTGTTTTTTTTATATGTGCGTTTTTGAACAGGCTAATGCTTTCGGATATCATCTTGAGGCTCGTTTCAGTCTTTTTGAATTTGTAACGATAGTGCAGGCTAGGCAGACCTATCAGGCTCTGCAGACCTCCCTGCAGATCTCCCTGCCTATTGAGCCTGTAAGGATTGAAGAAATAACTGACGCGATCCAACTATTGCAGAAAAATAAAGCTCCAGGTATCGATAGGATTTGTAATGCTACGTTGAAAGGCTTGCCTACAAGAGCGTTTCTATATAATGTTAATGTTAATTTGTCATGATATTATCAGGCTCCAAGTGTTCCCAAAACAATGGAGACTAGCTGCAATTTTGATAATTCACAAGCTAGGCAAACTAGAAGTTAATCCATAAGTCTCTTACTCTCCTTGTCTAAATTATGGAATAGGGCTATTGCCAATCGGATTACTGCCATTACAAGCCAATGCAATATCTTGCCGAATCTCCAATTCGGATTTCGATAAGGACACGGCACTGTGGAACAGGTCAACAGAGTTGTGAAATACATCATGCAGGCGTTTGACGACCTAGAGTTCTCAAACGCTGTCTTAATTGACAAGCAGCAAGCGATCGATAAGGTGTGGCACGATGAATTACTGTGCAAAATAATAAACCTTTTACCTGGCCCGTACTATGGCCTTTTAAGGTCATATCTGGAAGTACGAGAGTTATAGGTCAAGGTAAGGGACACAAACTCGTACAACCAGCAGTAGTGCCACAGGCCAGTGTTATTAGTCCGCTGCTCTACTCGTTGTATACCTCAGATATACCCTGCTCTACCTCTCAACATATGGAAGATCCCCCTAGGACTATATGCAGACGATATCGCAGTCATTTATAACTCCAAAAGTTGCGTGGAAGCAAGTAATGGACTTCAGGGGTATCTGGATACTCTTGCATCTTGGAGCAACCGGTGGAATTTGAAAAAAACAACAAGCCACGCTCTGCCCTCAAAATGCGGATGCATACCCCTCCCATCTATCTTGAGGGGGCTAGCCTGGAGCAGCCGCCACAAGCTAAGTATCTCGGCAGCTCCTTGGTTAAGCGCTTAACAATTGGTCCACACCTTAAGCCTACGGTAAAACAATGTCGTCAAAGACTGGAACAGTAAAAGGAGCACCTTACCGCTAAAATGCAAGAGAGCTGCACACGTGCAATGTATCTTGCCGATATGGCTTTATAGAGTGCAGATTTGGGGGAATGCAGACAAATCCAATTATAATCGTTTACATGTATTGCAGAATCGGGTACTACGACAGATAACCAACTGTCGCTGGTACGTACGCGGTTCCACACTCCGTAAGGATCTCAAAGTGCATACAGTTGAAGAACAGATTGGAAAGCACACAATCAGATGCAGTGACAGATTGCTAAGACACCACAGCCTGCTCGCAAGAGGACTATTTCCTGCCCGACCTTTAAGGCGACTCAAACGGCAAGGCTTTGCCAAGAAGATTGGGCGCCAGTAAGACCACCCGCATTTAAAATCCTCCTACTGCGTTATGGAGTTCGGCTCTAAGCTGCATTTTCTATCCATGTGTTGTTAAGGTACTAAATTATGACTGTACAGGTTCTACAATATATATTATAATTTCATATAATATAATATTAATATAAAAAATAAATGGATTTGTTATTATGTAATATGTCTTAAATAATAAATATTAAATATTAAATTAAATAAAAAGTTATCTAAATAAATAGATCTATTATTATGCAATATGTCTGAAATAAATAAAAAGTTGGTACTAAATCTTTGAATAGTCTTCAAAAAGACTTTAAAAATAAAATTTATATTAATGAACTTGTGATTTTAATTAAAATGGGGATCCACATGGTAAAACAAATTCAGTCCTGAGCAAGATCCAAAAGTCTCACAAGTCTCTTCTCTAGCAGCAGATAGTTCAAAACGAAATCACACTAAGTACATACATACATAAAAACATACATATGTACGAACAATGTACATGAAGTTACGCGTGCAAGTCAAATATCTCACACTCGATTGGTGCGGGGGCCACACGACAACACGCAAAAATCTGTGATGTGATTTTATCAATTTCGTGTTCCTAAACTATCGCATAATTTAAGCAATTTAAATTTGGAGGAATATTAATTGTTCATAGCATACATTTTTGTGAAGTTGACAGTGCTTAAAGGGGTATATTTCGTGGGCTTCTATTCATTTGTGATAAAATGAACATATTCACATCTTAAGCATACCCAGCGGACCAAACTGTCTCAAATGATATCGCAAATTGGTAAAATGCGACAAAACTCTTGCAAACACATCGGGAAACGATAGCAATATGAATCATAAGTCGTTCAGTTTGTGGCTGTCAAAGTTTCATTTACGACTGTCGCAGGAAAGACGCAAGAATACTAGCGAGCGTTTTGTGGTATTTTAAAAAACTACCTTAAAAGATATCGCCAAAGGCTCTCATGAAATATGATTTGCGAAACATTTTTTGTTCCATGCCCATTATGTTCCCATAAAAATGTTTGTTGCTGTTTTTTTTTCTTTTTATTATTCGTTTTAATTCAAATTGTATTTTTAAAATAAATAACATTTAATTTAACTTAAAATTAAAAGGCATTTTTAAAGCTATCCTATAATTATAAAAAGTGAATAAAATAATTTTATTTACAACTATTTAAAACAAAACACATTAAGTGTTGTCATTTTTTTTATATTTATTTAAATATATATTGAAAGGAAATAGTTTAGTTATTAATTTACACTTGTTAATTACTTACCTCTCTATGGAAATCCAAATTTTAATAAATCACTTATCACTTTGACCACGTGTCTGCTCGCTTAGGCGGACAATAGAAAAGAGAACAAAGGAGTTTTTCAACCACCAATAAACGGTTTCATAGTTTGGTCAAGATATCTTGAAAAACAAAATGTTTTTTCATACAAAAACTTAATTTTCGACCGATCGTTCCTATGGCAGCTATATGATATAGTGGTCCGATCCAGCTGGTTTTCACATATGTGCTGCGTGCAACAGAAAGAGGGAGTTCTGCAAAGTTTCATTAAGATAGCTTTAAAACTGAGGGGCTAGTTCGCATAGAAACAGACAGATGGCTATATCGACTCGGCTGTTGATGCTGATTAAGAATATATATACTTTATGGAGTCGGAGATGTCTCCTTCTATGCGTTACACATTTCACGACAAAATTATAATACGGTCTGCAAGGGTATAAAAAACAACAAAAACAACACAGCATCCGAATGCCACGTCGTTTTTCTCTCTCGCTCTCATGACAATGTTGCACTCTCTGAGCACGATTAACATTTGAAACAAAAACAACACACCATTCCCTCTAATGTGCACGCATCTTTATCGCAAGGAACTCACTGCTCGTGTGCGAGTGTTTTGCGATAAAAATATATCCCACTCGTTTTCTGCTCACATGCGAGCTCATTTGTGAGCATTTTGCGAGACTCTCTCTATGTGTGTGTGTATGTGTCCGACAAGCAAAACTGCGCAAAAATTCAATTTTTCCCAAATGCTGAGGCATTTCTACCCTTTTGAAGGCACGGCTAATATGAAATAGAGAAAGGGTTTGCCACGTCGATGCGAAATTCTTGCATTTTAGCTCGCTATCGTTGGTAAGGGTACCCAAGCGTTGCCATCTGTGCATTTAAAATATTTTGGACTCGCTATTCACGCGTACTTGCATATTTTGTATATGAATAGAAGCATTTATGCGCTTGTGAGACTGTTGCTTGCCTGCCTGCCTGTCCCCTTCTTTTTTAAGATTTTGATGAATGAATGTTGACCCCTTATTACCTGCAGCAGCCCGTTGGTCCGAATGGGTCAACTTTTGGCATAAAAGAGATAAAGAGAGAGCATTGAGAGCTGAGAGTAAGTGCGAGCGAGATAAAAGTTAACAGCGTTGCCGTTCTATCGCACAAATCATATAGAAGAGAGTGCGCCAAGCACTTTCCTGTAGAGTAAGCTGTTCAAAAATACATCATATGTATATCTTACTCCCTTACTCCCGAGTTTGGACCAGATTCCTCCGATGCTTTTTGTGCCAACGTTGTTTCTATGTGATGTCTAGTCTATATGTTGTTTGGTTAGTGTATATACCCAATTCGCTAAAAGAACAGGATTTCGATTACGATTTTTATCGATTGCTTGAAAACGGATTCAGACATCGATTATCGGAGAGAAACTTGATTTGCGCATTGACTAGGAGGACCTTTAGCTAAACTTTCTCTAGCTTTTATAGATTCTAAGATGCGTTCATACATACGGACGGACGAACAAAGGGACAGACAGACGGACATAGTTAAATCGGCTCGGCTTTTGATGCTGATCAAGAATATATATACTTAAAGGGGTCGGAGATGCTACCTTCTGCCTGTCACATACATTTGCACAAATACTTGATGACCTTTTTAACCCGTTTTAAGTGGGTTCAGGGTATAAAAAGAATCAATTAGATATTCATTCGATTTACTCAATCCAGACATTGACATATTCGTCCCATTTAATATGTGGTTCGTACCCCACCTCTTCAGATTGGGCTCATTTTCTTTGACCGAATTTCCCCCTTCCAAACTTCGGTTAACTCTCGCCTAAACGCATTGATTAGTTCAGAGCAACAATAATAAAGAACAATATTTTCCGCTTTTGGTTTCTCATTTTTACAATAAGTGTGGTGATTATTTCTTCCTAATGTTGGCTAGTCATCCATGCTTTCCCTGTAGTTCTGCTGAAGTCAAGCGGCGAGCCTATACCAACGACTTGATGCAACACCTTTCGTAAGGTAATTCGCCAACGAATGGTGATGCGATGGTCGCTAGAAAAATATGACTACTTAATTAATAATCTTTATGTAAGAGATATTCTTTTCAAGAATACAGATGTGTTGATTTTTGATTTGTTTTTATGTGTGCAATTAACTGTACTGAAATTGATGTAAATGTAATTTTAATACATAAAGTTTATAAAAACTACAAAATAATAAACATAGTACTGTTAAATAGATCTCCGTGCAACCTAAAAAAGTAGAGGTTAATATGAAATCAATTCACTTTTAGGAAAAAAAAAACACAAAATTAATTTAACTGCCTTTTTAGGATAGCTGCTTCTAATGTCCGTACAAAAATTGTACTGTATACATATTTATAATAAAATATACTTACGTATTTTCAGGTAAATCGACTTACTGAAACTGTGTTAAAGACACTTGATAACATATACATAAGTGAAAAGAAAAATAACAATAATAAATATTATTTCCATCTTCTATGCGGATATGGTATTGATAACACGAAATTAAAAAATTATCAAAGAATGTGGTTTATACTTTACAGGTGAGTAGTTTTATTTTGTGTAAAAGCCCCATAGTTTACGTAGTGATATTTGCAAATCCAGTTTTGCAGATATATCTTAGAAACAAATAAGAGTGCTGTAGTCGAGGGCAACCGTTTTGGAAAAAAAATCTTCTACTTAAACAAGAAACAGCTCGCTTGCTCCGTCTGTCCGTATAAATGAAAGCGTCAAAACGTATAAGAGCTAGAGAAATTCTCAACGTACTTTTTCCTTTTGCAGTACAAATTAACTTTCCTTAGGTAAATCCTGACAGATGTGCTCCTTGCTGCGCATTCCCCAGATTTCGAAATTGCGGTCCCACCTGACATTAGTTGGTGGCTGTAAGAGTTGTATTTTGAAGTATTTCTATCTTTATTTCGTGTTCATGTTTACCTTTTCTATCTAACGTGTACACTTACCAAACCCATCTTAATACTATTGAATCTACCTTTAATCTTCCTGATGTCGACTGTCACCGCCATCAGATTCAAACTTTCTGTTGCCGTCTTCGTCAAATGAATTTATTGATGGTCCTTACGGCTGGTTAATCGTATGCACAATTCAAGAAACAGATTTCTTGATGTAATTTTCATGTTGAATTAGTTCGACAGTGTTGAGCACAGAATTAATCCGCTTACACTTCCTGAAGACCCTTATTATCCAACTCTGGTCATTTATCTACCAGCAAAAGTCCCTTTACAAGGAATCGGAATTGGCTGAACGTGCCCGTTGTTTCCGAAAGGCTGATTTTCATAAACTGAATGATCTTATTCTTCAAGTCGACTGGTCCCTCCTGTACAATTGTGCAGACATTGATGTTGCCATTAAGCTATTTAATAATACCCTGTACTCGATTTTTGATGTCATGCCTGGCTGCCTGGTTCTCAAGTGAACTTATGAGATTAACGAAAAAGAAAGGATATCTTTGGCGCGCCAAAGGTCAAATACCCTTGCAGATCTAACCTTTTCATAATGCTCATAATGCTTTGCCCTTATCTGAGAAGCACAGGGAATATAGTAAATGCCGATCTTGGTCAAGATATCTTGATAAACAAAAAAGGTTTTTAATCAAAAGCCTAGTTTTTTACCGATTGTTCCTATCGCAGATATATGACATAGTAGTCCGATGTAAACAAGATTTCTGTCAAATATGAAGGGAGCATAGTGAACTATTGAAATGCAGTGTTTAATCAAAATATCTTGAATGACAAAAAAGTTTTCAATACAACAGCTTAATTTTCAACTGATCGTTCCTACGGCAGCTACATGATATAGTGTACCGATCTTTATAAGATTTTGAATTTATGTGAAGAGCATAGTATTACCAATAAATGCCGATTTTGGTCAGATATCTTGATAAACAAAATTGTTTTTTATACAACAATTTCATTTTCGACCGATCGTTCCTATGGTAGCTATATGATATAGTGGTCCGATCTTAATAGGATTTCTTATATATATGAGGAGCAAAGTAAAACTAATAAATGCCTTCAATTTTCACATAATCCTAAGCAACTATTTAATTTTGTAAATTTTAAACGAAAGACATTTTTTTTTTTGGCTTTTTCGGTTAAGTTTGCATATAATAGCGCGAAGACTGAGTAAACACTCCTCCTCAACGTACAATAAAAATTAGCTTTATCCTTATCAATAACAGAGCTCAAACTGCATCTTAAGTCCCATTATTACCGAAAGATTGTTTCTAAACGACTTTAACACTATCAAGCCGGTTTATTGACTGGGCCCTGATGGTGTTCCTGTTTGTGTGCTTAGATTCTGTTCGGCTTTGCTAGACTTCTTCTGCTTCTTGGCCTTCAGACGATGCAAGTAAGTGTTATTTAGATGCTCTTGTTTTAAGGTTTCACAGCGCGTGCCGCTTGTACACTTAGGCTTTGGAATAACGCAGAATACCACCCTTAAGTTATTATTTTAGGTGCGTCTTGCCCTTTTTGTTTGATTTGGCGACCTTTTTAGATTCAGGTTACGAGTGATTTGTTAGAGGCAACTCGACGCTTAAATGTTTAGGCATATTGCAATTCGGCGTGCCATTATTCCGGAACTGCTCGAAGGTCTTAGTTCCTGGCGTGCCGAAATTCCGGCACTGCTCGGATGACTGCAGTCATAAATGTTATTTTTCTTACCCTTGCTCCTTTTATTTTTAACATTATATTTCCTTGCCGAGGTCAGATTAAATCTTGAGCGACCACGTTTGTGCTATCTTTTTTATGCAGCCGTCTACAGATTTTTACAATATAAAATTTGACTGAGAGTCTAATTGAGACTCGGTGTAATGCATGAACACTCTCCGACTACATACCTATAACAGTTACCTGGGTACACTACAGGGAAGTACTGACTACACTCCTTGGTTAACAAATAAATTTTAGCCAAACGCAATTAATAGATAGTGATATATACAAAACTGATGCGACCGTCACCATCACTGACAGTGCTGGGCCACAACAATCCATATCTGGGAATTACATTACAAAATCGAGATTACCAAGACCATTTTTATCAGTAGCTATGGTGTCATAAGAAAGAAGCCTGTTATGTTCGCCGTCACGCAGAATAATGTTACTGAGTACCGGGAACATCCTAGTTCGCCATTTCTCTCAAGACCAATCATAAGTACTGGCCCTAATCCTCATAAGACTGGTTCCCATTTACATGGTTCGTCAACGACTTAAACTCAGGCTGTAGAGGACGCCCTTCACTTAGCTGAGGGAGGAGCTATCTCCAGCTAATTCGATTGGGCAACCGGATGGCATCGCAACAATATTGCGACAGTTGCCGCGGAAGACGCTGACCCTACAGTGCCATCCGGTCAACGGCAAGCCTACATTGAAAATCCGATCACGCACAAGCAAGCGCTGAATGGCCACTGAATAACGGCACGAGGCGCGGAATCAGCGATTTGCTTTGGCTTCGAGACCGCTTAAGACATTATTGTAAATCAGTTTTGTAAGACCCACGAATCAATCCAAATTAATTGCAAAAATCATCATTAACCGATCTTATTTTAATTCATACTTTAAATTCAATACTTTAAACATTTCTGCTTTTGCTTTCATAAAATCAAGCGGGCATGGCATAATCAACTAAAATTGTCATCATGAATATTTCAAGTCCCAACCTGGCTGCTGAAAAATAAAGGAGCACGCATGCTAGAACGATTGATTAAAAATTAGTACATATAAAACGAGAAAGAAAGGCTATCTTCGGAGCGCCAAAGATATCAATATCTTGAAAACAAAATGTTTTTTCATACAACTTAATTTTCGACCGATCGTTTCTATGGCAGTTATATGATATAGAGGACCTATATTAATAGGATATTGCATATATATGAGCAGTATAGTAAAACTAATAAATGTCGAGTTTGGTCAAGATATCTTGAAAAACAAAATGTTTTTTCATACAAAAACTTAATTTTCGACCGATCGTTCCTATGGCAGCTAAGTATATGATATAGTGGTCCGATCCAGATAGTTTTGACATTATGCTGCGTGCAACAGTCCTGACTGATGGTGATTAAGGCACGGCCCAAACCGTAAGAGCTAAAACGCTGGAATTTTCACTGTAGTTACCTCATGTGATGTTGGTGCATGTTAAGACGTAGTGTCGGGAAATTCCACTAAATGGTCACATTGATTATATTTAAATCTACATTCGGATGGTTGTCGATCTTACATTCGGCTAACCTGAGGACAGATCGCCCACGATCTTACAAATTTGGGGTACCAATACGTATAATTTATTTACATGATCTTAGGATATCTATATATGTAGGTTAACGACATACATCTATCGTATCGAATACACACTGAACCCATGGCTTGTGCCCAGCTGGCTCTAATATACTACAGTATGCCATCTGAGTCATTCCCGCAATCTTCAATATCAACCACTTCATAACGGTCTTCAATGGCTCTGCTTATCTTATATGGGCCACGATATTTTGGTGCGAATTTCTTATTAGCTCCTATTGCAGTGTCAACATTGTGACCATAAAATAATTTCACTAGCTTGCTCTCGCCCCGCACTAAGATTTCTCTATCCATGTTTACTTTATCCTCTAAATATTCAGTTAATTAAAATCAACTATTGGATGCTGGGTGTTTTCTGCGTGCTGCTATGAATAGCGTTATTTTTGGCATGCTCGACATGCTCATCAACTATATCAATTTGCCTGCTGAATGGGCTCTGAGAGTTTAATTAACATGGGGGTGAGAGCACGATTAACTCTATGAACATGGCCATTTGCCTGTGGTGCCCCAGTGGTAACTTTGATATGCTCTATACCGCGTTCTTGCTAGAAATTCGCAATTTGTGCCTCGGTCCGAGATTATTCATATTCAAGTAAAATTCGAATTATTATTTACTTAAGGCGTCTTTGGCTTCGCGTGTACTGGTACTATTTACTGGAAATAATTTCACAAATTTTGTGAAGGCACCTACGGTTACCGAAATATATTTTCTTCCTGATGTGTTACTGGGTAATGGCAGTAACCAAACAACATATAGACTGGACATGAGTACCGGAAAGTAGGCACAGAATGTATCGGAGGCATCTGGTCCAAACTCTCGAGTAAGGGAGTAAGATATACATATGATGTATTTTTGAACCGCTTACTCTACAGGAAAGTGCTTGGCGCACTCTCTTCCATATGATTTGTGCGATAGAACGGCAACGCACTTACCCAAGCGTTGCCATGTGTGCATTTAAAATATTTTGGACTCGCTATGCACGCATACTTCCATATTTTGTGTATGAATAGAAGCGTTTATGCACTTGTGTGCCTGTTGCTTGCCTGCCTGCCTGTCCCCGATGCAAATTTAACAAGATTTAGGATTTCTGATTTTGGACCTCTACACATAGACACACACATACAAATGTCTGTGAATGGGCTGATCATGGGCGCAAAATAAAATACATACATATCATTACTGGCACGCATCTCCGACCCCATATAGTATATATATTTTTCATCAGCCGAATCGATATAGCCATACTGTCTGCCCGTCTGTCTGTTTCTATGCGAACTAGTCTCTTAGTCTTAAAGCTATCTTAATGAAACTTTGCCGAAATCCCTCTTTGTGTTGCACGCAGCACATATGTCTAAACCAGCTGGTTCGGAGTACTATATCATATAGCTATAATAGGAGCGATCGATCAAAATTAAGTTTTTGTATGAAAAAACATTTTGTTTATCAAGATATCTTGATCGTACTCGGCATTGATTACTTTTACTATACTCCTCATATATATGCAAGATCCCCATAAGATCGGACCACTATATCACATAGCTGCCTTAGGAACGATCTGTCGAAAATTAAGGATTTGTATAAAAAACATTTTGTTTATCAAGATATCTTGATCAAAAACGGCATTTATTAGTTGTACTATACTCCTCATATAAATTTAAAATCCTATTAAGATCGGACCGCTATATCATATAGCTGTTATATGAACGATCGGTCGAAAATTAAGTTTTTGTATGAAAAAACATTTTGTTTATCAAGATATCTTGAACAAACTTGGCATTAATTAGTTAGCGGGCATGACATAATCAACTAAAATTGCTAAAATTGTCATCATGAATATGAGTACCAATCGGGCGTAAAAAGATTCTGAAAAATAATGAAGCACGCATGTTAGTACGATTGTTCAAAAATTAGTCTGATAGAAAAAAAAAAAATAAACGAAAAGAGCTTGCATTAGAACGCACGAGCTCTAAACATGAATGGCGTGTCCGTCCGTGTGTCCATCAGTCCGTATGTATAAACGCAAGGATATCAAAACCTATAAGAGCTAGAGACAAGAGATGACATTTCAGATATGGGTCCTCCTAGTGAACAAAGTGGGTAAATATTAAGAGCTAGAGCCACCAAAGGTAATATCTTGCTATATATTATATATATATCAAGTATCTTTCGTTTTATACCGTTCGCCACCTCCCCGCTACCACCCCACAGCTTTAAATCAAGCTAATAACCCAACTTTTATTACCAACCGATTTAAGCCAAAATTTAAATGCAATTGACTTTTTGGGATTACTCAAATATTCTTCGGCTAAGAAAAAACCAAAGTTATATGTAACTGCGCAATTGGATGGGACAGTTAGCGAATACTTCAAGATTTTTTGTACACATGTACATACACACATTCATGCGCGTCTTCTTTGCATTCTATCGTATACTAACAGCATAGTAATTGCGACTGTTTTCTGTGCTGTTATTTTAATAATACTTAATTATTGGTGTGGCTGTTGAGTAGAGGCATAGCAAGTGGTGCGCTCTGTTGCGAGTTTGAGCCCTACCGGAGAAACAATTTTTTGCTTTTCTAGCTATTGTGGCTGTTGAATAGAGTCGTCAGCAAGTAATACAGTCAGTTGCAAGTTCGAACCCTGCTTTTGTTTTTAATTTATCTTTCTTACTTTATACGAGCGCGTTGCGCGAGCTGTCCTTGGTATTGGAGTAAGAGGATTTAATGTATTCCCTAGTCAGGAGCTCCCGACTAGAACCTCTTGTTTATTTATTTACATTTGTCAGAAAGAGTCTTAAAATTTATATTTTACCTCCCTTAATTACAGTAAATTTTTCTGTATATTAACAAATCAATAATTGCCCTCTCTTTCTTCCACAGTTTGGGAACAAGTTGGCTGGAAGCACGTGCATTAAGCGATTATTTTATAATAATCAAAAGAATCGCTCAAGCTTTTGAAGGCTGTACTTAATTCCTTGGTAAAACTCGAGTTAAAAAGAACAAATATTTTAAGCTTATGAATGATGTTATACATATTTCACAATAAATGTACATTTTTCAATAAACACATCGAAGTTTAACATTTAATACTATAATGTGGGCCGATTAAGTTCCAAACTATGGAAGAAAGAAAGGGCAATTTTTAATTCGTTAATATACAAAAAAATTGTAGGTAATTAAGGGTGGTAAAATTTAAATTGTTAGACTCTTTCTAATAATTACCAAAAACTTATACATTTTGAATCAAAATGGCTAAAAAGTGAAAATCGTCTCTATAGAATTCGTGAAACTGAAAATGAGTAGGAAATGAAACCCCGTTACGACCCTATTTAGATTATTTAAATCCGACCTATTATCCTATCCAAATTTTAGCTGTCAAAAAAGCTTGCATTAAAAGGCACGAGATCTAAACATGAATGACGTTTTTAAATATTAAGATTATTTAAATCCGACCTAGTATCCTATCATAATTTGCAACGATAGACATACGTCGCTTGTTTGTTTGAAGCGTTCTTAGTGTTTTTGCATCCACGCTGTTTATTGTTAAAAAACATATTGGAGAGTACGAAGTACTTAGAAAAGTTTAGTCTAGTCATTTGTGAAGAGCCAGAGGGTCCTATCTTAAATTAAGACAGGAACACTAGACAGTAATGACTTCACGCTAGTGGAGAATTCAGTCAAACCAACAACTACAGTCGTATTCTAATACAGTTTAAGAACAAGTTGGCTGGAAGCAAACGTTCACTGGTAAAATTAAAAAATTAATACAAATTTTATGTTAATGGAAATCTCTATATATAAAACTGTTTGTCCTGACTGACTGACTGTTTCGTGATTAAGGCACGGCCCAAACCGTAAGAGCTAAAACGCTGCAATTTTCATTGTACTTACCTTATGTGAGGTTGGTGCATGTTAAGACGGAGTGTTAGGAAATTCCACTCGCAAGTGTCGAAAAATTGAGAATAACGTTTGTGTGAAGAATCCAAAATGCGATTAAAGATTACATTCCATTATAGGAATAGTCCTTGCCTTACCCTTGCTTCTTTTATTTTCGTTGTCAATGGCTCTGCTTATCTTATATGGGCCACGATATTTTGGTGCGAATTTCTTATTAGCTCCTATTGCGGTGTCAACATTACATTTGTCAACATTATATTTGCCTGTGGTGCCCCAGTGGTAACTTTGATATGCTCTATACCGCGTTCTTGCTAGAAATTCGCAATTTGTGCCTCGGTCCGAGATTATTCATATTCAAGTAAAATTCGAATTATTATTTACTTAAGGCGTCTTTGGCTTCGCGTGTACTGGTACTATTTACTGGAAATAATTTCACAAATTTTGTGAAGGCACCTACGATTACCAAAATATATTTTCTTCTTGATGTGATACTGGGTAAAGGGCTTAGATGGTCTATGTGTAACGTATAAAAGGATACTTCTGATTTCGGTATGCTATATAATGTTTTATTATGTATGGTTTTGGGCATTGCGTGTAATATGCACAATTTCTAATAAACTGTGATACTTTACTACGCATTAACGAGAACCACTATATTATTTTTAGGTCATTAACACACTTGTCCGCCGCTAGTTGTCCTTCCTGCTCTTCCATTCACTTTGGAACATATATACCTAACTTGACATCACTATCTCCTTTGTATATTATTTCATCTATAATATCCAATTCTAAAGTGCGACCTTCCTCTATTACTTCTCTAACTTTTTCTACCTCTTGATCTAGCATTTGATTGTAAGATTGAGTGCACACCATCTGGGGTAACACCAACCACTTCAATTCGAATTTATATTCTTTCTATAATTTATATTATATTTCTTCTAATTTTCCCTACTCTCTGCGAATCCATTTTTATTCATGTCTCCAATCTGGTCGACCCCTCCACAAGAGACAATATAAACACTAAGATGAGTAACGCCATACAACAAAATGCTACAATGTAGCTTGATTTCTTGAAAATTGAGAACGAAAACGAAATCTGTAGCGTTACGCTCTCACAGCCGAGAGAACGAAAAAACTAAAAATAGAATTTGCTCTCAGCTTCAGCTCTATGAGGGCCGTGCAAGCAATTATGTTTGTATGCATGTGAATATACATACATAACAGCATATTTTAATGTGTTGTTATCCACTGCCCTGGAAAAGTCTCTGGCTGGCAATCAAAAAATTTTCTTAGATTTTTAGCGCAGATCACGACCTACCCCAAATATTGAATCAAAAGTCATATTTATTTATACAAATAACTATGTAATTGTAGTCTTTAGCATTCTTTTGTTTCTTAATTGGAGAATACAAATAATATTAATTTAATTTAAAGAAATTATGTAAATATTTGCATCGATTTAAAAATACATATTTTGTACGGAGCCAACCTCAGTACAAAAAATGCATTCATATATCCACACAAATTTGGAATAGGTCATGATCTGCGCTGGAAAACTAACAAAATTAATTTCTTGCCTGCTAAAGCCAGAGCAGTGAATAACAACACATATATACATATTTTGATGTACTTTTGCATGCATAATTCACGCATACAACAAAAGGTGCACTCACGCAATTGGCTGAGACATGAACTTTTCTCAAGCATACAAGTGAAATGTGTGCTATTTTCTTAACATAGTTATTGCGCAAGAAGCGCCTTGTGTAAAAATTATATAAGTTGTTAAATTTTCCTGTAAAATTATTCGTAAAAATCTAGGGTAATATATCATTTAAATAAAGCATGTATTTCATGGATAAAGCACAAACACTTTGCGTCGATCGTAAGTTCTAAACTTTTTCGCTCAATGTTCTTCGAAAACGAAGCGACGCAAAGCAGCATCGACCAGCTTTGCTGAAGGCAAGCTGGCGATCAACTTCGTAGCTCGTGTCAGCATCATCAAGCAATTTTGCGTCTCATTCAAATGTATGGGCGGTATTCATCTTAGTGCTGATATTGTCTTTGGTACTACCACTAACCAAACAACATATAGACTAGACAGTACCAGAAGTAGACACAAAATGTATCGGTGGCATCTGGTCCAAACTCGCGAGTAAGGGAGTAAGATATACATATGATGTATTTTTGAACCGCTTACTCTACAGGAAATTGCTTGGCGCAATCTCTTCCATATGATTTGTGTGATAGAACGGCAACGCTGTTAACTTTTATCTCGCTCGCACTTACTCTCAGCTCTCAATGCTCTCTCTATGTTTAGGGATCGTTTCAATGTGTGTGTGTGTATTTGTCCGACCAGCAAAACTGCGCACAAATTCATTTTTTCCCAAATGCTAAGGCATTTCTACCCTTTTAAAGGCACGGCTAATATGAAATAGAGAAAGGGTTTCGATGCGAAATTCTTGCATTTTAGCTCGCTATCGTTGGTAAGGGTACCCAAGCGTTGCCATGTGTGCATTTAGAATATTTTGGACTCGCTATACACGCATACTTGCATATTTTGTGTATGAATAGAAGCATTTATGCGCTTGTGTGCCTGTTGCTTGCCTGCCTGCCTGTCCCCGACGCAAATTTAACAAGATTTTGGGATTTGTGATTTTGGACCTCTACACACAGACACACACATACAAATGTCTGTGAATGGGCTGATCATGGGCGCAAAAGAAAATACATTATTGGCACGCGTCTGACGCGCGCCTTATTTTTTGAGATTTTGATGAATGAATGTTGACCCCTTATTACCTGCAGCAGTTCGTTGGGTCGAATGGGTCAACTTTTGGCAAGCACCTGCATATGGAGGTCAAGTGACTGATCACCAAAATTATTAAAACTTTAAATATCTAATCGCTCCTCTATTTTTTTAATTTGGTATATTTTAATATTTTAAAGATATTTATTTTTACTCAAATTTCATTCAAAATCATTAAAAAGAAGGGCTCGCGTCAGACGCGATATATGATATAGTGGTACGATATTCATAGAACTTAGCATATATATGAGGAGCATAGTAAAACTAATAAGTGCCGAGTTTGGTAAAGATATCTTGATAAACAAAATGTCTTGTCATACAAAACCTTAATTTACGACCGATCGTTCCTATGGCAGTTATTTGGTTCAGTGGTCCGATATTGATAGGATTTTGCATACATATGAGGAGTAAACTAAAACTAAACTTGGTCAAGATATCTTGAAAATCAAAATGTTTTTTCATGCAACAACTGAATTTTCGACCGATTGTTCCTATGGCAGATGTATGATATAGTGGTCCGATCATAATAGAATTTTGCATACATATGAGGAGTATAGTAAAACTAACAATTGTCGAGTGTGGTGAAAATATCTTGAAAATCAAAATGTTTTTTAATACAACTTAATTTTGGACCGATCGTTCCCATAGCAGATATATGATATAGGTATCGGATCTTGATAGGATTTTGCGTATATATGAGGAATATAGTAAAACTAATAAATGCCGAGTTTGATCAAGATATCTTGAAAAAAAATGTTTTTTCAATCATCAACTTAGTTTTCGACCGATCGTTCCTATGGCAGCTATATGATATAGTGGTCCTATCCTAATATGATTTTGCATACATATGAGGAGTATAGTAAAACTAATAAATCTCGAGTTTGATCAAGATATCTTAAACAAAACAAAATGTTTTTCATACAACTAAAATTTCTACCGATCGTTCCTATGGCAGCTATACGATGTAGTTGTCCGATCTTAATAGGATTTTGCTTGTATATGAGGAGTAAAGTAAAACTAATAAATGTCGAATTTGGTCAAGATATCTTGAAAAACAAAATGTTTTTATTACAAAAACTAAGTTTTTGACCGAACGTTCCTATGGCAGCTATTTGATATAGTGGTCCGATCTTAATAGGATTTTGCATACATATGGGGAGTATAGTAAAACTAATAAATGCCGAGTTTGATCAAGATATCTAGAAAAAAAATGTTTTTCATACAACAACTAAAATTTCTACCGATCGTTTCTACGGCAGCTATATGATATAGTGGTCCGATATTCATAGGACTTAGCTTACATAAGAGGAGCATAGTAAAACTAATAAGTGCCGTGTTTGGTAAAGATATCTTGATAAACAA